CGCCCCTCCCCGGGCGTTAGTTTCGCTTTATGGCTAATAGCGTCGGGTCGTCTGCGTCCAGGCGTTTAATCCGGCCTGCAGAGCGCATATCTCCATTTTGCAGATCACGCCCCCCAGGCTGAGAGGCAGAAGGAAGAGGCCAGCCCGGAGGCGCACTCAGATCCAACTTGAACTCTGCGGGTCCGTGCGCGAAGGGCCAACCCCTCCGTTCCCCCACCAAGCCCCTCCAACCGGCTAGCGGAAGCGGGGCCGCGCTGCAGCCAGCGTCAGGCACACAAGCATTCACCCCACTTCAAGCCCTCTCCTCCCAATAACCACAGAAGCAGGATGGGGGTCTGGCTTTCTCTTTAGTCATCACGCTGCGGGGCTCTCAGAGAAGGCACTTAAGCGGGAAGGCCACCCCATTCAGGCCGATCACTTCCTCCCCCGCCCTACCCGCTCTGGTGTGGGAGGGCGGCATCTCCACTTGACATCCCCCTTGGCACTGGTACACGGGTCCCCTTAACCGTTAGGCCCTGGGGAGAGCCCAAGGCCTTGACCTCCAGCCTCATCATGTATGAGAAGGGGTTTCAGAAACGAGTCAGAATTGGAAAGCAGACGTCCTGGGAGCTGCCCCCAGCCAGCAGGGGGCGAGACAGGGGGCTGCAGGAGATGGGGTTGGCACGGGGGAGGGGGACGGCTTGGCCAGGCTTCCTGGAGACCCCCAAACCCCACAAGAAGGTCCCACCTCCTATAGATCCCCCAAAGGCACCGGTGAAGTCTGGAGTGGGTGGGGAGGCACCGATTAGGGGGTGCAGAGACCCCCCCACACACTTAGCTGGTGGGCCTAGCACAGTGCTGGGCACAGAAGGTGCTCAAGAAATTCTGAATGAATGAATGGAGCAAAAGGGGTATGGGGGACAGAGAACGGGGCCTGGGGCCCCTTGACCCAACTTGTTCCATTCAGAAAATAGCAGTTTAAAAAATGTAAAAATCCTCCCCCCCGCCCCAACTTCTGGGCCCAGGAAAGGGGTGAGGGATGGGGGTCTCTGCCCCGACCTTTCCCTCTCTCCTTTCCCTAAAAACCTATATACACATATACATATTTATATGGCACCACAAGGGGGTCCTGCCTGTGCCCCACACTCAGAGCTGGGGGAGCCAAGCCCCTGGGCTGTGGGCTGGTTAAGGCAGAAGGAAGGGGCTGGGACTTGGGTGATGTGGGAAACAGCCCTCAGCCCTGGAGAAGCAGGACCGTCGGGCCTGAAGGCTAGACCTCTGCTCCCTTCACCAGTGGTAAGAGACCTTCTCTCCTCCCCTCCCTCCAAGGCAGAGAAAGACACTGGTGGGGGCCTCTATCAGTCCCAGAAGAGGAGGTGGGGGAGAGGACTGGTTCTCCCCTACCACCCTAGAGCTGAAAAGACTTTGCCCCTGGGAGAGTTGGGTGGGGAAGAGGGCTCTAGGCAAGGCACTTGGTGTCCACCGTTCCCGACTGGAAGGTCCAAGGCAGGGGGCAGCAGAAACCCTGCTCCCCAAAGCAGAACCAGAAGGGGCCAAGGGGCCCACTTTGGCAGCAGAGAAACCTGGCAGCATGGAGAGAGGAGAGAGAAAGGAGGAGCGGCAGGCAGGGCTCCCCAGGTCCCCTGAGAAAGGGGAAGAAGTTCGAAGGCACTGACACAGGGGCCCGGGGGCTCATCGTCCTCGGTGCGGCCTGCTGCCCCTACCTAGCCTGGAGGGGCTGGCAGGGGAGACACCCGGTTCTCCATGGCACTGAGTGTGGCAGCTGCCCATGGGTTTTCTTAAAGAGCACGCCCGGGCAGAGTCTGCGTGGAAGGAAGTGGGGGCGTCCTCAGTCAGGGGCAGGTCCTGGCCCCATCACCCTCACTAGCTCCCTGGCCGTGGCTGCCTGAGCACTGAGTACACGTCGTCCACACGGCTGAGTTGCTCGAAGAAGGGGAGGAGGTCGTGGAGCTCCGTGTCACTCATGTTGTCAAACCAGGAGGCCACCGGTACCTGGGGAGATGGGCGAGGGAGGTGAGGGGGGCAGGTGACTCTGAGAGCAGCATGTCTAGCCCTGTTCCGCACACTTACCACTCAGCTCACCCAGCTCCTGAAAAAGCCCTGCACCCACAGGGCGCAAACTTTTAAAATAGCAACCCCCAGTAAAACACATTTACAATCTAACAAAGCAAAAGTTTCGCAAAACAATTCTTTTTTTTTTTTGAGTTAGAATCTCACTGTTGTCCAGGCTGGAGGGCAGTGACACAATCACAGCTCACTGCTGAGCTTAGGAGATCCTTCTGCCTCAACCTCCTGAGTAGTTGGGACCACAAGCACATGCTACCATGTCCAGCTAATGTTTTGATTTTTTTTGTCTTGCTTTGCTGCCTAAGATGGTCTTGAACTCCTAGGCTCAAGCAATCTTCCCACCTCAACCTCAAAGCACTAGGATTACAGGCGTGAGATCCCATGCCCAGCCTAAGACAAGTTTCACAAAACAGCTGGGCACTGTGGCTCATGCCTATAATTCCAGCACTTTGGGAGGTAGAGGCCAGAGGACTGCCTGCACTCATGGGTTCAAGACCACTCTGGGCAACTTGGCAAGACCTTGCCTCTACAATAAATAAAAAAAAAATTAGCCGGACATGGTGGCCTATGCCTGTGGTTCAGTTCCTTGGAAGGATAAGGCAGAAGGATTGCCTGAGCCCAGCAGATTGAGGCTGCGGTGGCTGTGAGTGTGCCACTGCCCTGCAGCCAGGATGACAGAGTGAGACTCC